TCTATGATCAGTTGTCTTAATTCAGAAATCACACAATTTTCATTGATATCACCAGCTTCTATATATGCTTTTTTGTGTTTCTTTGTTAAATATTTGTTTGTTTTTGTTGTGATTAAGATTGTGACACGGTGTTGACTGCTTTACCCCTATTTTAACATTTTTACCTATTATGTCTGTTTGTTTTAATCACGCATCGTTGTCAATATAATGAAATTTGATGCGACTGTCATACAAGTGAGAGGTTTAGAGCTATAAAACCAGGTTCAATCCACCATTTTCTACATAAGAAAATGCCTGTACCAAGTCAGGAATATGACAGTTGTTGTCCATGCGTTTGATGTGTTTGTGCTTTTGATTTTGTCATTTGATTAGGGACTTTCCGTTCTGAATTTTCCTCAGAGTTCAGTATTTTTGTGATTTAACTTTTTGTTACAATTAAAAAAAAGTAACATATGGTTATAGCGAAAACAACCCTTTTAAATCGAGATTTGACCTACATTTTTATGTATGTCTTATCTCAATGATACTTCATCAGAGTTCAATACATAATAGCATCTACTATGATCTGGAAGATTGTGATCAATGATCGAACAATTATCCTATAAATTAAGAATGTTTTTAGACACTGAGTTTCCAACTCCCTCAGGACCGTTTGGTCGCAACTCTCCTAACATTATTCCGATATTAAACATACCTGGAATTCATATGTTTAGGTTAAAGCGTTCCTGATGAAGGTAAATCCAATAAACCGCTTGAGTATATACTGCCAAAAAGTATAATAACAAAAATACCAAACCCCGAGCAAAATTCAAAACGGAAAGTTCCTAATAAAATGGCAAAATCAAAAGCTTAAACACATTAAACGAAAGGACAACAACTGTCAAATTGCTGACCAGGCACAGGCATTTCCCCACGTAGAAAATGGTAGATTAATCCTGGTTTTATAGCTAGCCAAACCTCTCACCTGCATGACAGTCGCATAAAACTCCACTATTTTGACAACAATGTGAGAACAAAACAAACAGACATAATAGGTATAAATATCAAAAATAGGGTTACAGCAGTCAACATTGTGTTACAATCTTAATCACTATAAAACAAACAAATATGTCTACACAGAAAAGTGGCGCGAATCTTTAAAAATCGATTGAAATAAAAATTTTAATAAAAAAAAAATAACATTAGAAACGAATATTGTGGCAAGCTTCATTATAGAAATTTAAAAAAACAAATTTTGTTAATACTTCTTTATAGAAATGGATTCTTATAACTCCTCATTTAAAGTTACTCTTTTCAATTGTTGTGTTTTAATTTTAAGTATAGTTTACAAAAAGATTGTTAAAAATGGAAGTACGCTACTGGCACAAAATCGGTCTCCTTTCCGATCTCTTCTTATTTTCATATCACTACAAACCAGTAAAAGTCTGAAATGGCCTATATCTGTACTCGACTGTACTGATTTTTACTCGACCAGTCTGAATTGGTCTGAATTTTACTCCACATTACTCGACCCCAGTCTTAACCATACTCGACCGTACTGATTTGTACTTGACCCTTATCTTTGCCATTGAAAATAGTCTGAACTATTACTCGACCAGTCTGAAACAGTCTTAACCCATTCTTGACCTGTACTCGACCTATTTTTTCAGTCTAAACTATACTCGACTAAAGGTCTGAACAATACTCGACCAGTCTGAACCATACTTGACCAAATAACCTCTACTTTGTTTTTTAATTTTACCTGTTAAAATTAATTTCTTTTTTTCTGACATGACAACAGCCACAATGAAATAAAGATATATATAAAAACAGGTTTTTACATCCTTACCTGATTCTCAGATTTATCAAATAGAGATAGTTAAATCAAATTATCTTATATAATAAGTTAATTATATTAATTTTAAGTTTTAGAGTTTTGTTAAAAAAAAAGATTCTTTTACCTAAAAACCACACCTTTACTGAGGGTAATAAAACCTTATTAAGGTGCTTCTTGGTTGGCATGTGTTTTTTTTTTTTTTTTTAAACTTAATTTTCCTATATTCCTAAAGAAAAACTACATAGGTTTTATGGTTACATACAATAGTTATATAATTATCTTTTTAATGAGTTCACAACAGCCAAAAAATCACTGAAATTGTTTAACCTTATATTAGAAATATATCTATTCTTATTATAATTTGGGATATATTATATAATATATATCAAAAAGGGATAAAAAAGTTAAAGAAATAAATAAAAAAAAAATTCTGATTAGTGGTAAAGTATAAAGTAATACCTCCTGCTTGGGGCAAACTCATTAAAAAGATCACACCTGGTCAGAGAGAATTAATTTCTAATTAACATTCAGTAAAAATTGCAACATCCTGTAAAACTTAAATCGCAAGGCCTTTTGAATTCACTAGATAAGTAATACACGAGTTTAAGAAAAATAGGGCTTTCTTTTTACCTGTAAAACACACATGTACTGAGGTAATCAAACCTTATTAAAGTTCTTCTTGTATGCCATGTCTTTAATTTTGACAAAAGTTATTTAAATTTAATTGAAATAATTTTTTTCTGCAACTTTGGAACACATTTCCTTTTGTAAATGGTTATCAAGGATTGCTACGGAAGTTCTATTATCATGATTATATTAAATTCTTGGTTTTACAAAACAAAGGTGTGATCTTTTAAATTTATTAAGTTGCTTTATATACTATTCTAAATATATTTTAATAAAAAAAATGTTTACTGCATTATTAACTAAACTCAACCGACACCATAAGGCTTAAGTAAATGGTGAAAATTGTCCAGTAACCATAAAATATATCTGAAACATTCAAAAAATTTTGAATAACATTGAAAATATTAGTCACAGTTCAGTTTTGAGATTATTGGATCAGCTTGTTTTATTTTTATTTTAAAGGTGATATATATATATATGTAAGTGTTGATGAATATGGTGTTGAATTTATATTATGTTTATTGTGAAATTTTGGTTTCAATGCCATATTGAATACATTTTGAATTTCAAATTGTTGTTCAAATTTCTAGCCAGGGGAAAAAGCTGTTAAAAACAGTTCCTAAATTGTTGAAATACAATAGATAGATATAAAAAATATGTCTAGGTTGGTTAAGACTTGGTCAAGTATGGTTCAGACTAGGTCGAGTATGGTTCAGACTAGGTCGAGTATGGTTCAGACTAGGTCGAGCATGGCTCAGACACAAATAAAATGGTTAAGTACTGGTCGAGTACAAGTTCAGACTGTTAAGTATGGTTCAGACTACAGTCAAGTATAATCAAGTAAATTTCAGACCAATTCAGACTGGTCGAGTAAAAATCAGTACAGTCGAGTACAAATATAGGCCATTTCAGACTTTCAATGGTTTGAAGTGTATGAGTCGGAGTTCCTGCAGACACTTGTCAAAAACAAGAAGATCACAGAAGCCAGATCATTTAATCTCACATTCCGATATATTGATGATGTTCTTTCCATTAACAATCCAAATTTTACTGATTGGGATCCTTTAATATATCCCCTAGAACTAGAAAAATTAAAAAAAACTTCAGACACGCCTTCCTCCGCCTCATTTTTAGACTTATACCTTGAATTTGACATAAGCGGTCATCTCGGTACCAGAATCTATGACAAACCAGACGATTTTAATTTTGAAATAATCAATTTCCCCCACCTTAGTAGCAATATACCAACCTCACCTGAATATGGGATATATAAACGGACTATGATGTTCTACCACAGAGTAGATAATCTCTCGAAAAATTATAAATTTTGGAGTCAAAGTTCGGTAATATGAAAATAGTCTATTCGTGATGGTGACCGTAAAACGTAAGTGATATCGGTTTTAGTTGTTCTTTCTGATATCTCCTGAAGATAATATGTTTTTACACCCATTTATGATATATATGAAACAAAATGTGAGATAATCTGCAACTGAATGACTTTTCACCTGTCATGTAACTTAAAACATCCTTGATGAGTTTATCTAGGTTCCCAGATCAGAGATGTATTTATCTATATTGTTGCATCTAACAAAAAATAATATTCAATGCATTGTCAAAGGCTTTAGATTCTATGATTAAAACAACTATTTAAAAAATTCTTCGTTCAATCAATGTTGTTCCTACATGCTTGTTCGTAACATCCTGTTTATGTAGTTAATAATTATGTGGTAAATGTTATGTGAGCTTATGTTTAAGATAAGTGTCACGATATCCCATGTGCTAAATATAAAATAGAATATCAAAATATTAACCCCCCCCCCCCCTAAAAAAAAAAGAAGCCAACCCGCAAGATATTGCATAAAAATGCATTTAAGTACAATAACTCATTAAAGCAGTCGATCGTCCTTTCGGGTCAGTTACTTTTGACCATTATTGCAATGTTTCATTCATATTTTTAAATCTTTTATTGCTGATTATTTTGCATAAAAAGTTTCTTTTTTTTATGTTAAAGAGATCTCAAGGGAAATAAAAATACACGCAAACACGGGTTTTATAATGAGTCGCCGGACCATTTTGGCCTTGTTGACTTATTTGTAGATCTTTTCTTGTAGACAATTTTTGTTATTCAAAAACCCGCATGAAATAGTAAAAAAGGTCAGTGAATAAATAAGGATTATCAAATCAAAACATGTATGATTAATCTGTACGAATAAAATCTTCTAGTTATAAGTGGTTTTGAGAAAAAAAAAACCAAGAAATTGTATTTGATTTTTACTGTTATAATCAACCAACCTATGTTTTTTTGTATGCCACGTATTCCAATGTTACAATCAGCTTTTCTAATTAAAATGCTAATATGTTAAAAACCACCAATTACTAGCTTAAAAAGGAGTAAAACGACATGGAAATAAAGCTAGATCAAATAATAATAAGTTTGAATTAGCCTTAGATTATAGTAAACACCAGCACAATAAGAGTACCTTTAGAACCTTAGTAATACTAAGAACACAACAAAGCATTCACCTGTCTATCAATGGGAAACGACGTTCCTATCGGTCTTTGTCTATTGGGGACGAATAGTAACCGGTAAAAACCCATTTTCTTGGAAATCTGATATACCACATGTATATATAGATGGTACGTTTATAATCGGAAGGACTTTACATCTGAAAACCTCGAAGTAAGTTTTTGATTAATTCTAGATTTCATTATAATAGTCAGCACTTCTGCGTAGACATGAATTATCATTGATTTGGTCGTAATTATTGATTAACTGTTTGAAAAACTTTTCAAAATACTAAGTATGTTCTAACCCAAAAAAGTTTTTTTATCTGTATTTGGCAAAATCTTTTAGAATTTTGTGACCTCAAAACTCTTCAACTTCGTACTTTATTTGACTCTTTTAAGTTTTTCGAGCATCACTGATGAGCCTCTTGTAGACGAAACGCATGTCTTGCAAACATTTTTAAAGCCTAGTAACTATGACGAGTTTATAGTTATTTATGGTGTTATTATTCGTGATTTTTAGTGTAAGTCTATGGTTTTTTTTTGTAATCTGTTATATTTTATGACCATCTACAAATTCTATAACCATGCTAGTGGACTTTTTTCCCGCTGATATTTTCAGCTAAGTAGTCAACACGATGGTGCTGAAATATTGTATCATAGATCCAACAATTTTCGAAATTTTTATGACGCACAATGTGAAAATCGTTTCGAATAACTGAGTTTTTCTTCACGCAGGAACTGGTGGCAAAAGTAAAATACAAAGCAATTATTTAAGATTTTTGGGGTTTGAATGCTTTTTATGTCCATATCTAATGTGCTTGCCAACAGTAATTTTTTTTTTATCGCTGCTCATGGGTCTTGAAAAGACGAAATGCGCGTATGGCGTATAAATGATAAGCCTGTTATCTTTGAATACAATCTTTTTCATTATCGTATGTAATTTGGTTTTATCATTTCCAGTTTTATGGATAAATTTTGAAATCAGGATATGTTATCCAAATTTGTGTTTTAAACTACGAACTTTCATTCTGTAAACAATATAAGTTATGTGGTTCGCTTCTAACCCCCTACCGATCCATAGAGGGTAAGTAAAATCCATATGGGACGAGGTCGAAGGCCGAATCTCCTATGGATTTTACTCACTCTCTATGGTCCGAAGTGAACCGTATAACGAATTTATTGCACGCGGAACTTTTCCTGCAGCGTTTTGTAGAAAAATATACGATGAAATACAGCAACATCAATAGATGACGTCACCATTAACAATAGACGTGACGTTTTGAACCCCATATGAAATTTACTAACCCCCATACGGATCCAAAGGGGGTCAACACGTGACAGCATTAAACCAATCACAACGTCATAATTTACTCGCGGTGCAATATGCATTTGATACATCACGCATTTCGAGGTTTATTACGGGGATAAGACTCACTAAATAACAAACAAATCAAAACACGGGATTAACATTTTGTAACAGATAATCTGTTGTAAAGTTTTATTTCTGTAATCCTGAACAAGAATCTTTCAAAATCTCAATTATCTCCTATTCGTTATTTAAGAAAACATATCATAGTTATCTCTACAATAATGTTTTTAAGTCGTAGTTACGAACACATCTACATTTGGTTGATATAGTCGAGCGTTTGATTTTGTCTGTTTTATCACTTTCACCATTTTTAAATTTACATTAGAGTTCAATACTTTTGTGAATACTTTTTTACATGTTTAATATCCTTTGAATGTAAATAATCTTGCTATTTTCAATTTATATAGTAATAATATAAGATATCAAAATGCTTAACAGTTTAATGCCACCAGTCATTTCAAACGACGTGTAATGCACCTTTTCTGAATAAGAATAACTTCAATAATTCGTTAAAACAAGTAGGCGTATAGGAAAATAGTTTAATAGCTATACAGGGGATACAATACCCTTTTGTTTGTAATTCTTAGAACTGATGTGTAAAAAAACATACCTACCTAGTAATGTGGACATCAATTGTAAGGAAGTTTTTCCACGCACAATCAAAGTGAATGAAACATCGGTTAATCCTTTGTCAAACCAAATTATGATAACTATATGCATACAAGTAAACCTTTTTGATTTTCTGATTTAAAATATCTGTAATGACATAATTCTTAGTAATTGTATGGTTGATTGAATTTTAAAACTATTCGCTTTCTAAATTTAAAGTAAAAATAGTATATATGTGATAGATAAAGTTTTCTGCTAATTTACAATTTGCAACTTACTTAAACAAAAACACACATGTAAATATTTTATTCGACCAATATTAACCCTTCTGCACAGTAGCCCACAACACTTTAATTACTTTCAAAGACGCTACATTGATTAAGATATTAAATCGTATTCTCCTTACACTTCATTTGAAATATACGATATAATTTGATTCAAATTGAATAAAACCAAACGGTTATCCATAGTCGGCAGACGAGTAGATTCTAGATACCGAACTTAAATATTTTGCACTAATTCATGTATTGTGACTTGGACGGAGAGTTGTCTCATTGGCACTCATACAACATCTTCTTATATCTATTGATAAATAATTTAATGATTTGAAAAAAAAGTAAAATAACAAAAGTACCGAACAAAACATCCGAACAAAGACGCCAAATTTTTTGTTGTTGTTGTTGGTAGTGCAATCAGAATAATAAAGTATGATGAAATATACTCTTTCCCGACGAAGTACAAATACACGGGTAAATAAAATGATAACAATATAATATAAACGTCATGTGTCTGAATCGCATCAGGAACGCTACAGCCTACAGCCGAAAAACTCGAAAGCTGGAGGCACAACTATTGAGCCAGGTCAAGAGTCATTCGACCAAAACATAGTAGTAAGGAAAAACGGTAAAGTGAATAAAATGATACTTAATGTCATCACCTATAACATCCTGTATTATGTGTTCTCTTTGTAAATTATTAGTTTTAAATGACTGAATATGCAATATTTCAAGATTATGGATATCTATCTGATTTATCTTTACTCTACACACGGATGACTCATAGGTTGTACTAGTGTATCGAAATATATTCATCTAGTTAGATATATCTTGTACGGCAGGTTTTTCTATGCTGGAGGAGAGGGCGTTGGGTTTAGCATTGCGAGATGTACGGGTTCGTATTACAATGCATTATGGTATACTAGAAATATGAGCTTGAAACTAATATTAGCATTACGTTTATTGTAAATATCTAGTTAAATATATATATATATTTTTAAATCAGATAAACATAAATGATTGAGCAGTTCAGAAATATCTATAAATACTGGTACCAACTTCATATATGTAACCAATTGTTTCATATTTATTTTTCCAAGAAAAAAACAATATAGAAGATGGAGCTGCATTTGTTGTGTTTTTTGGTGTTAATGATGATGAGTCGGTTTGGATGCCATGGTGCAAGTTACCAAGAAAATAAATTAGAGGTTTGCATCTAATGTTCCGTCCTAAAGAGAAAATTTCAACTCTTCATTCACATTTAAAAAAAAGAGTGCTTACAGATATCTCGCGTTTAGTCAATGGTAAGGCTATTGTCCCTTTGTCTAGGTTTTCTTTAGCAAATTTTGGTTTTTTCCGTTTTTCTTTTAAATCCTTAAAAAGAAAAAAAAATATTTTACCAATATTATTTGTCCAAAGATCAAAAAACACTTCATCTTTAAAACGGAAAGTCAGCAAAAAGTCTAATTCTAAAAGTGAGCAATTAAAATGTGGCACAGGCAACACTTTCATACAAAATGCAAAATGAGCATGAACTATTGTCAAACAATGGGAAGAAATAAAATAAAACATCATTTTTTTTTTATTTTTTTTTTTTTGAATGAGTAATTAAGCATGTGTGCAGTTTAGGTAGTCCTCATTACAAAATCCTCGATCGTTTAAAGGCTCGTTCAAACCCATATTATTATGGGTCAGTATTGATTCAAAATAACATTTGTGAAACTATATAGTTAATAAGGTTACATCTCCAAAATAAATACAGAATTACAACTTTTTTACTGTTTCTTGAAAAAAGCAGGTAAAACAAACCCTGTCAAAATAGGTCAGTTTTTGATACCCTCTCGTTTACAAACAAATTGAGAGAATATGAAAATACGGAAATGTGGTATGAGTGCCAATGAGACAACTATCAACCAAAGTTCAAATGAATGAATCTAACCAATTAAAGGCAATCATACGGCCTTCAACAATCAGAAAAACCAATACCATATAGCTGGCTTTAAAAGGCCCCGACATGAAAAATATGAAGCAATTGAATTAAGAAAACTAACGGCCTAATTCATAACAAAACAATTTATGAAAACAAATACATATGAATAAAATAGAAAAATAACAAAAATACCGAACAAGGAAAATTCAAAACGGAAAGTCCCTTAACAAATGGCAAATTCAAAAGCTTAAACACATCACACGAATGGAAAACGACAACCACAGAACTACAGACTCCTGATTTTGGACAGGCACATACAGAATGTGGCGGGATTAAACATGTATGAATTTCAAAAGGAGACCGGAAAGAACTGAGTAAAACTGATCAGAAAGAAATTCTCGAAATGCACAAAATATGCATATAAATACTTCGGTTTCAATTGTTTTGTATTATAGCTATCTGGTCGATATGATTCCCCGAATTACTCATCAACCTTTGACTTTTTCCAAAATTTGGTTGTAAGCAGCGATGATTGCGAGTAGGCGTTTTAATTTCGCTTAATATGCATCAAATTACTGAAGTTTTCTTATGATATATTTGATGTAAAGTATCTATTTTTTCATATCTGTATTGAAAAATTTGAATCTTGCATAGTTATCTGCTTTGATTTAGCTACATGGTTTGTAATTTCCGGATTCCGTTTCAGAGTTTCGAAGAAAGGGTTTTTGCCCATGTTGCTAATTTTACACCAGCATTTGCAAAAAGTTCCTTGGAAGATCGAATGTATGACTTAAACACTCGTTTTCTGTCCATAATGATTAACAAAGTTGTGAAGGGTGATGCAAAAATATGGAGTAAACTTGAAGTGGAAAGGAGGTCATACAGTGAAGCAATTGAAAAACTTAAAACTGAGTATTATGAGGAAATTCAGACGGTAGATAGACTGCAAAGCGAGGTCATCACTCTAGAGACGCAAACTGTAAGATTGAAAGAAAGGTGAGAGAAGTAAAATGATATTTATCTGGCCACTTTTGTATGTGCTTCATATTTTAAGCTGAGGTCATTGTGTCATTTAATTTTAGATATTGAAAAAGGACAAAAAATACAAGTATGTTTTGTTTTAAAGATCTGCAAGAATCTACTCAATTTTTGTCTTCATTTGAAAGTCGCACCAATAGTTATGCAAACATTTTTGCATATACAATATTAGAACTGCAACTAGTTGCACTTAAGTCCAATTAACAGTACATGGGCTATGTCACAGATTTTTGTAAAATTTAAATAACTATAGCTCGTTGAACTATAACTCAAAATAGAATAAATAATGCATTGATTACATTTATTTTGTTTATTGAATTATTTCAAAATAGGTGAATATTTGTATAAAAAGCACATACAATCCGCAAACATCGCTCTAACAGTTGTCTTAGTATCCCCGATTTCAAATCCATAGATTTTTCTTAAAACACCATACGGTTTTTTTACATAAATTTCCGTCTAAATGATAATAATATAATATAAACGTCATTTAATAGGGTCACATACTTAACATTGGAACAGATACAGATGAAGTCAAATTATTGACTTGCAACCCAGCTGTCTCTGAGCTTTTTTGACAAAATCGAACCAAACTGACGGTTCAATTCCTAATAATAACATTAGATGTATGTTTCATTATTATACGTTATTTTGATTGGCTAACAGCAATCTCGCGTCATTCTTCATTTCAAAATGAATTGCATGAATTGAAACATACATGATGACACACGTTTTCACAATAAAATGCACAGGTAAATAAAAGAACAACTTGATAGTAATCGTATTTATTCATGATCATAGCGAAAAAATGTAATTATAAGTATTGAATGCTTCTTTGGTAAATTCATAGGGTTATAAAAGCGTTGACCGTGCGTACATTTTTAAAATGAAGCGCTTCCGCGCTTCATACAAAATCTACTTCGGTCAACGCTTTTACACCCCAATGAATTTTCAAAAAGAAGCATTCAATTCTTAAATATAGAATAAAACTTTGAGGACGGGTTCCCGCAAAGAAAGGAACCATAAATGGTTGTTTACTTATATTGAAATGAATGTAGATCAAATACTATTAGTTTAAATTATTTTTTTTCAAAACGTTTAACCCTCTGAATTTCACAAAATGCGTATTTTGCTTGAATGACTGGCAAGAATATTTTTTTTTTCCATTTTTCTAGATGTATTTTTTTATAATATGTGACTGCAAGCATGTCTTGAATGTATTTATTCTTTCTTCATTATCATTTTCATTTATTTTGTTTTGCATTTTGAATTGTGTCGCATTTTTAAGGCATCATTTATTAATTAGCTTCGACTGCTTAAATATAATTTTATAGCTGGCAGTTTTTGAATTCGTCATTGTATTTATTGCAGTGTTGAAGATTTCAAAACTAAGTACCAACACATGTTGGATAACTATATGAAGCAATCCGAGACTATCAATGAACTTGAATTAAAACTGCGAAACACAGAGCAAACAATTGAGCAGACAAAACAAGAATATGTTGAAGTGGAAGAAAAAAATACCGCATTAAAAGAGGCAAGTACTATAATAATATTATTATAAATATTAAAAAACCGATATATCATGTTAACATAAATATCCAGAGGTGTACTTTGACAGCATACATGTTTGTGATTTGTGTATATGTAGAAATTTTGAACCCATTTGAGGGCTTCAGATTTTGCTAGAATGTACAAAATCTTGAGCAACTAAATTTGATGAATTTCGTATACATTTTTTTTTAGGATTGTTATAAAAGCCGAAACTGTACTGAAATAGGCTTGCAGTTTTCAACCATGAACTCTTCTAAGGGTTGCGTTTAATTCTGCACTCAGTCACACAAATCCAGATTACAAGGAACACCCTTTTTAAACAGATAAACTATGGGAACAAAATATTTTTCAACGGTTATTGCTTACTATCTGTTATATTTTAGAAGTACTATAGGCAAGAGATTACCACCAAGATAACGGAAAAGAGAATGGAGGCATGTGAACGAAAACTTAAGGTTTGTTTTTAAATATTCTTTAATAAATCCTCTATCAAGAAATTGACTAAATATCGTAAACGCTAAAATCATTTTCGGAGTTTAAAAGCATTTATTCAAAATACGCGTAACAACTTGTTTTACTATTTTGAACTTGATTAGTGTAATACGAAATCATACGTCAATATGTATATTATGCAATAAATGCCAATATGTCTGTACTATCTTGAAGAAAGAAGCGAAAGATATCTAGGGGATATTCATAACTTTTAAGTCCACGAAAAACTGACATCGCCATCGCAAAATACAAAACACGATGAATTCACGTAAATGAATATAACACTGATTAATTTCATACGTACGAACCGCTATTATGGATTTACCTTCATCAGGATCCATAAAACCATACATCTGAATAGTTTCTTAATTTATTAACGGAGAATTTATGAAAAGTCTGACACAAATCAAGCCAGTACCAAAAGACCGAATACAGTTGATGGTACTCTTGGGGACTCACGTTTCACTAGCAGTGGTATCGAATGAGTGCTAGTTAATGAATATAACACTTAATTAATTGTGTGCGTCCGAAGCGCTTTTCTTGATTTACTTACTTATATCAGAAACGCTCGAAACCCAAACATTTGAAAGTCAATGATGTAAAAAAACAAAAACACGTGAAAAACTTTATGACCAAAATGGACCTCAAATAGCAAAATTCATCTGAGGTCAATTTTGCCTGAGAGAAATACATTTTGAAAAATTATCTGATTTCAAATTAGGAAAATAAAAGTCCATAGAGTTGAAAAAGTTGATATCAAAACATTCCAAATTTAAGCAACAGTAATTTACCGATGTTCAAAATTCATATATTGAGTTTTTATATAAAACTAGGCAATAATAAAAAAAAAATCGCATGAACGAGCGAGACATAATGCGTTGACTTGTTAAGCGTCTCCTGTAATGCGTACATCCTGCTCCATATATCATGATCATATAAAGATGTATAGAATTCCTGTGAATCTTCTTTCAAATATTACATTTTTTAAATATTTGTTAGCTATTTGAATCCGTTCGGGTACAGCCGGAGACTGCGGAGGAACTTATAGAAGTATCCTTGAGGGATATTTCCAGATTGATTTACAATATGCAATCTACATTCTGGACGAAAGTACAAAACTACTTTACAAAGCTAGAGGCAGAATTTAAAACTGAAGTAAGTAATAGTTTTTATAAAGTAAGATATGAATACAATTATTTTTTGTCATCTATGCATCATACAATTAAGCCCTTTGCTTCTGTGAAAAGTGTAATGAAAAATAAAATAACAAAAATACCGAGCTCCAAGGAAAACTCAAAACGAAAAGTCCCTTATCAAATGGCAAAATCAAAAGCTCAAACACATCAAGCGAATGGAAAACAACTGTCATATTCCTGGTTCAGGCATTTCCTTATGTAGAAAATGGTGGATTCATCCTTGTTTTATAGCTAGCTAAAACTCTCTTAGTATGACAGTGGCATAAAATTCCATTATATGAACAACAATATGTGAACCCGTCAAGCTTACTTAGATTATGCCAAAGATTAAGAAAAATTGCACTACTGAAAGCAAAAACTTATAGCGTTGGATAACTAGAAAAAGTGATATGTTAGGTATAGTCCGAATCATGGACTTATTTTGTCTTGTGCTCAATGTACAGTGTTTTCGTCCTTTCTCCGGGACTCGGGCAATACAATGAAATTGGAAATGACGATGTTTATGTTAGGTTTACTCCCCCTTTAACAGTGAAACTAAACAACTTAACCGCATGATTGAATATCAGTCTCATTATTGTGAGAACATTAAGTAACACTAGTAGATTTGTATTACCAGTTGAGCTGAATAAATCAAAATTTAGTCGGGTAATGGAGTTTTGAAATCCTCCAGTCCTATACGCTTTGTCGCAATTTATGATAACAATCCTGGAGGAAAACGCAGTATAATATTGAACACTAGAAAGGAATACACCTTATCGTTATTTGTCCCCCATTACTGGACATCACAAGGGTTCCCGTAAAATTTTGAATTCATAATAGAAAATATCTGACGCCACAATGGAAAAGTGATTGTTGTATGACGTCAATAGCTCAAGCGGCGCAGATTCTCGGGTCAACCGGCGCAGATTCTCGGGTCAACTGGCGCAGATTCTCGGGTCAACCGGCGCGATAAGGTGTATTAGTTTATAAAAAATATGCCATGGCGATTAAATGATCATTTAAATCATAAGTCGAATTTAACATTCAAACTTTGTGACTATGTCGTTGCCAGGAATATTTTATAGGATCAGAGTGATTTTTACAAAGTCCGATTCATTTTCCAAATAAGATAAATCCTAACCCAAACCTTTACTTAATGCTTATTACGTTATAGATTAACATTTATCGTATTACCAAAAAAGCAAATAAGCAACATTGGAACATTTATTATACTTAAGAAGTAGTATTAAGATATACTAAGTGATCACTCCCTCTTAATTGAAAAGGGGAGATATTTTAAAATCCCAAGAGAGGAACGACTTTGTCATAAATGTAAAATACTAGAGGATGAGAAACATATTTTACTCTATTGTGATTATAATAAAACACTAAGAAATGCCTTTTTTGAACACATATGTACTGAAAATAATAACTTTAATCATTTAAATGAAGAAGAAAAAATTCATTATTTACTAAATCCATCAACGCCTTTAAAAACAAATGAGTTAGGATCCTTCTTGAAAAAGTCATTAGAACTGAGGGCAGGGGACTCTTAACAGCTTGTTTGTTTTTATAAATTTTGATGCTGTTTTTATTGTTTTTGTTTAATATGTATGTATATATGTTTATTGTGTTAATACATGTTGGTCACAAACTGTAAAGTTTATACGACAATAAAATATTTGATTTGATTTGATTTGATTTGATTTATAAAAAAGACAGAGTTATCTTACCAGCATGGTAAAATTCGATCAAACTGTATAAATTCTGATGTAAATAAAACGTATTATACAATAAACCTGAGATTTAAAGAAATATCTGTCTAAACCTACATGTTAAAATCGTTATTTAGTGCACAATATGCAAACTGCAGTATGTTATTAAACAGTAAGGGAAGGAACAAATGTTATAACAACGATTCATATATCCTTCATGTAACCTTCTTCATAACAGGTAACTAATGTAAAGAAGAACGAGTTTTCAAAGTATGGTAAACTTGTCATTGAGCAGAAGGAAGAATTTGAGAGACAGGTAAATATATCCAATGTTTACATCTTTTAGGTTAGTAACGCCCGATTTCCACAACTATATCAAAATAAGAAGATGTAGTATTATTACTAATGACATTTACATCCAGAGACCAAATGACGTAGAAGAAAACATACCATACAGCCTTCAACATGAGCAAAACCAATACCGCATATCATGAAAAATGTTAAGCAATTAAACCATTAATACTTAAGACCTGATTTACGTACAAAAATAATAACAACAAAAAGATAAAAGGATATACAGAAACGCACGACAACCAATGAATTACAACCTCCCCTGACTTTGGACATACAGAATCCTTTTAAAAACATGTTTCAAAAATACCGAACTCCAAGTTAAATCAAAAAGGGTCAGTCCATAACCACTGACAAAATCAAACATTATCAACCAAGAGAACGAGTGGAAAACAACTGTCATATTCCTTGGGTATTGGTGACCGTGCAAGAACACATCATAAGAACAAAATATAAAATCAGTTAAAAAAGGTTTGACTCATCAGATCAACACAAAACACAAAAAACAAAAAACAACTATAGACTCAAAGTATATATCTGAGAGAACTCGCCGTTACTAAAAGCTAGTTCAAAGCCAAAACCAAGTAACAAAGAAGACTTATTTATCAATTAATATTAGATTTTTTTCCTCAGATATGCGTTCTTATGAATTATATTCCTTGTCATCTTGCAAGAATGGTTGTCGTCATTTTGAATTTGATGCTCGTTAAAGCGTCTATATATCTTAAATTCCTATTGATAATTTAACCTTTGAACAGATTTAGCTTATCTGCTTTATCTTTTTTTTATGGTTTCGTTAACTTCTACATAATGTTACTGTCCAAACATGTGATGGGGTGCGTGCAGAAGATGTTAATGGTAACCCATCTGATCTCACTACATGGATATGGCTCCATTCAATGCATCTTCATTCCTGTCATTGTATTAAAACTGGACGATTCTGTAAACATCGGTAAAACACGTTTACATATGCGCGCTTCTGGCGTACAAAATTATAAGCCCTGGTCTCTTTGATGAGTTTTTTTTTATATACTTGACAATTCTCAAACATTTTTAAAACTTTTATTAATATTTTTCACACCATTATCTAAATTTCGTGATCATTCAAAGCACAAATACTTGTATACGTAATAAGTCAAACCGAATATCTTTTGAGAAACTACAAATGATTTAACTTTTTATATAGTTATATAATTTTTGTATAATAATCATCTACAACATTTAAGTGTTGCAAAGATTGACAAGACTTATAAAAGTCCATTTGAATTGTTTTTTCTTATAGTGCTACCTTTTTTTTGTTTCGGTGCCTATGTCTTAGATTAAGGCGACATCAGTTTAAGCTCGTCCGAATCTCGTCATTAGAAGGAAAAAAATCAAGGTATCAAACTAAAATGAGAGAATCACATGAACTCCCAAAAAGGTTGAAGTGGTAGTTGAAGCAACCACACAGATCTAATCGACACAGTTGTGATTTTTTTAACTAGTGGAACCAAAAAAAAAACCAATCCTTCGAAAAATTAAAAAAAAATATGAGTTGATAGACCGTTATGGAATATCTGTTTGACAGATGACGACGGATATGTACCATTGTCGTAACCACAATCCTGTCCTCTTGACGAATGTGACCTACCGAGTTAGACGTACCACCGGCTTTAAACATACAAAGCAACACGACGGGTGTTACACGTGGAGCAGGATCTGCTTAGCCTCACGGAGTACCTGAGATTACCTTCGGTTTTTATGGGATTCGTGTTGCTAAGTCTTTAGTTTTCTTTGTTTTGTTTTGAACTGTTGTTTTTCTGTTATGAGTAAGACCACAAATGTTCAAATCTCGTTAATCTCGTAAAAATGGACAAATCAAAGTAACAAACAAACAAAAATGAGGGAATCGCATGAACTCCAAAACAATAGTCATTCGGAGCATTTTGATTTTCTTTATATTTGTTTTCAGTGTACATGTGTGTTTTATAGTGCTTTCTCGCACAATATGTTTGAAAATAGTCATTGGCCTTAACTTCAATGACAGTGGATTGGTAAAGGTCAACACAAGTTTTACATTAGATATGATCTGTTGTTGACATTAGCTTAATAGTACCAATTTTACTGCACCAGATGAGCATGTGACAATTAATGTATCTATGTGAGCCATAAAAAAGTCCTGTGAAAAAGTGTCCACCCGGACACTTTTTCACAGAAAAGGTATATTTAATATGTCCGATGCTGTGAAAAAGTGTCCATTCAATCGGACATAATTTCATGATAAAATACTTTTACATTCTGTCCTGTAAAGGTTGAGAATATTTTAAAATGTTAAAAAATGTAAATTTTGGGTGTTAATGCAAATATCAAAATCACCAAGAATTATTTTTTTTATTATAAGATAAGTAATGTCTACAAAGAAAAACAGGAAGATTCCAGAACAATTTCCAAACTAAGAGAAGAAAGAAATATGCTTCAAGAGAAACTAGCCATAATTAAAGTACAAATTGAGGCAAGTACCTATTTAATACACAACAGAGTAATTTATCTGCCTTACACAAGGCTAAATATTGTATTTAGTACAATATTAACTACTTTGAAGTACTTTTGTTAAATTCCATCGTACATTGACAGTTACTACTTTTGTAATCGCAATACAAATGTTCTATTTTCTAACGTATTTACATAACCAATGATTACAAATGCAAACCAAAACATATTTTAGCTACTCAAATAAGATAACTAGTTGATGCATATCACTTTAAAATTCAATAGTACAACTAGCTTGTAATGAAATCAAAATTACGATACGAAATGAGTTTCTAAAATTACTGTTTATAAGGAACGATCCTAACCAAAAATTAAAAGTGTCAAGCATTGAAGATAGAGACCATAAAAACCTGAATGGCTTCTGAAAAACAGCCAAAACCATCCGAGGTCTGATGTTATTTCAACTTTTAGTTTATTACAAAATTCATCAACTGAAACTTACAGAAAAGTGAATCATTTAAATATTTAATATAACAATTTCATAATTTCCATTAACAGGAGTATAAGTCAACAATAGAGGTTACTTCAACACAAACAACCACTTTTGACATAGTTCTGAATGTAAGACGTGAGGAAGACGAAGGAATGCGTGAACAAGTAAACTTTTATGAAGTTTTGACAGAATTAGGTGAAGAAGAGTATGTACTATTGCTTTTATAAGAACATTTTCTATTCATACACATTTTTCCCTTTCGCATGCTGTTATCTTAACTTCTTAACTTACGGAATTTTATAGGATCTACTATTTAAATTCGCTATACTGCTTAGGTTTTCGATTCGTTTTGTGTCAAGTATGAACAAGGAGTTATTTGTTTTTAGATTTCTGATTTGAGTATTTCTTGTTCTACTGAATGAAGGAGATTCTCATCCAAAGATTTTTGTACACTTTATCCCCATTTTTCAGAGCTGTTGTGCTGGTACGATATATCATCGTTGCAGTCTTTTTATTTTTTTTTTATTAATTTTCTGTACATAAAATGTTTTCATCATCAGAAACACAAAGGGTTTTCTACTCATCAGTTTCCTATAAGTGTAGTTTACGGCTGTCATTTTTACAAATCTTACTCAAGTTTTCACGGGATACTACTTCCACACTAGGAGAAACCTTCCTTTCTTAGATCAGCACATGTGTTTAAATTTTTGTTTGTTCTGTATGGTGCTTGTGTTAGTGTTTCTTACGAGTCTTTTCCACATCTTTGCGATATTTTTGTCTGTGGTCTTTGTATGAAGGGTTTGCTTGCCATCTTGGTTCATAATTCTTTGTGTTAATTTCTAAAGAAATCTAAAAAATTGTTGTCAACCATCAAACCGTTTTTTTTTTCTGTTTGAACTAGTCCGTAAGTTTTGATGTAGATGTGATTGTTAGATTATAAACACATTTTTGATTAAGGTTTTGCTAATCTCGTCGCTAACGATACAATTGTATGGGTTATTTGATAATCGTCCATATGAAATTAACAATTTAGAAGAATCAGTTCATGTTCGTAATGATATTTTTATTCAAACATTTAAACTGAGGCTCAATCGTATGTAAACAGATAACCAAAGTTAGAAAAAAAATATTCACTTAAGTTATGGGACGAAAATTCATGCCTGAAACAAAATTTTATAACCAATTTGCGTACACAATTATAATCAGACAATACTGAACATTTAACTTTATGTAATAATCAATCTCAATTCAAATTGATTCTTATCATTTGAACAATTTCATTTCAGTGATACCCTTTGCAACAATGCATTATCTCATAGTTTTTTGGTCATTTTGAATCTCATATTCTTTAAATGAATACATGCATACTGTCAATATAGTTTTATTTTCTATTATTTGTTTAGCATGTCTCGCATATTTTCCAATTTTTGTCTTTTGCATTATAATGAGGCAAGTTCACAAGTTCCTTATAACAATAAATGTTTCCTTTTTTTGTCGAGCCAATCGAGATTAACAACGGTAGTTAAACTCATTAACCTATTGAATTATAATTGCAGGGAAAGCGCAATGACAGCAGAAAAAATGACGATGAGATGGGAAGATTTGAAGACGTGGTTTAGTCAAGGTATGATTTTTTTAATTATTTCTTACTATATGCTATTTAATAACATAATATTGGAAAACAAAGCACATTAATATACTACTCTATGGATCTTTTTCTACCTGTTTTTAAGAGGTCACCATTATTAATGATTATGTCGATGATTCAATGAATCTGTTACAAATCTAATATTACCGGCCTTCAACAATGATAATACATAGATTATACAATGCATTTTTATTAAACAACGATTCTGCAAAATTAGAAATTAATATCATTGTGATACTGTTTTGAATGGTATACAATTTATATCCATGATAGTGTATGTACTTTTCTTTTATTGTACAATGCTATATAATAAGAATTGATCGATCAGTATGAAAGATGTCTGACTTGATTATCAGTGGAACAATACGTTTTTGTAAAATTAGATATATATAAAATGTGAAAATAATTCAAGGTTATAAGGTGTCTATAAACAGTCACAGGCGCCCTAGACAGATTTGGAACAATGTTTTAAACTTTTGCTTTTTAATGCTCTTAGTATTTGCCTTGACCTATCAACTATTTTTATTCGAGCGTAACTGTCATTAAAGTTTACGAACGCCATCACGAGTTCGTTGACCTACATATGTTATGATGTGCACTGTTTGTCTGTTTGTCTGTTGTTCTTTTTGTTTTTAGCCATGACTTTTTCAGTTTATTTTTGGACTTGTCAGTTTGAATGTCCCCTTAGTATCTTTCGCCACTTTTTTAGTCCTAATGTAGAAGAAACCCATGTATAGTGTACCGAATCTTAAGCCTGGTTTCTTTGAACTTTTTCAAACCACATACTAAATGCAATGTTGACAGTAGCCTAAACAGAAGTGATACATTCATTTTGTGTTAATTTACTTTAATCTTTTGTGAAAACTATTTTCAACACTATTGAGTCAAGACGACCGATGCTAGATTTGACATGATTTTTGGGAAGTTTTGCTTATCCATTATCGCAAATTTCGTGATTGTTTTCGTCTCCGTCATTTTTGTTTGCGGAGTCATTTTATACGAAATGCGCGTCTTAATTTAATACCTTGTATCTTTTGCGATTTTAAAAGAAAAAAGAAACGTCAATATAAAAATAAAGTAAAATTACAGCCTGACACTGGTCATATCAAATACTAATTTTATAAAAACTGTATTGCTTCATTAAAGGGTATAAACACTTTATATGAAAAGTAAATTCAATTCACAGCCTTAATAGCTTGTATGTTAAAATATATTCACTTTTCAAAATTTAAAATAATGGTTATATATGACAATTTGAGTGTGTCTTTGCAACCAGATAAGAATTTTAATTCCACTGAGCATTACATTTTCCTTGTGAATTGGACACATTGTTAGCTATTTATTTTACGGACGTAGCATGCAAAGTGGGATATGATCAAGACGAATTCTGGAAAACCTTCACAACAAATTAAAACCATTTACATAGAAATAAGGAGATGGGGTATGGTTTTCAATGATTTTGTTATCTACAAAGAGCCACCACGCGACGTACATGATTGCAACTATAGGTCACTGCACGACATTCGGCAATGAGCAAAATCCATACCATATAATAAGCTCTTAGAGGTGCCTCGAAGTGACAAAATGCAAAAACAATTCAAACTAGAAAACCAACGGCCTTATTCATATAACGATTAATCATCAAAAAAACTAATTGATATATATTGCTGTAAATAAACTGTTTATACAATGTTGAAATAATCAGAACGCTATGGTTTTTCTACTCATGGTATGTTTGCATTAGTCATTTTGAACAGCGGTATACTACTGTAGCCTTTATTTGTCCCAACCTTCCGGAATTTTCAATAATTAATGCTCTTCAACTTTGTAATATTCAATTGGGCTTTTGCATTCTGATGTACCTAACGCAAATTTTTGGTATTCATAGATCCTCCAGAATTCATAAGACAAAGACTTGAATCAGCCAGAACCTTACTTGACAACCCTACGACAAGACAGGAGGCTGATTTGGAATATTCACAGGTTCAGGTGGGTTTAACCATAATACTCAGAAAAAATAACTATTGATAAAAGTTTGTTATATAGAAGTTCGTTCTAAGCGGAAAAGGAATATTTACAAATTGTCAAGTCTTTTGGTATGACGGGGTTGAGGTCCGAACGAACGAGCACACCATACTTCATGTTTTCTTCAATAACGGGAACGGTTTAAATGTGAAGATACGATTTTGATACAGTATGCACTTATAATATAAAGTAAGCATAACAATTCCGATAGGACAAGCAAAACCATTATTTGTACAATAAAAAACGTACACATGACCAAAAGGAAAATGAACGAAACGACAAACAGTTCAAAAATCACTACACTTTCTCGACTGCTAACACTCAGACGAATAATGTGTTATTACTTTTTGAATGTGTACTTTAAGATGGGTTTTCTTATTGTATCGTTGAAAATTAGTACTTAGTGTGTTTTATATCGTTTTCGTTACACCAAACTATTTGTGCAACGATATAGATATATATAAAAATGGTGAAATCATATCGTTTACCATGACAAAACTTTTGTAAAACAAATGGCCTTCGTCTGTGTCGTTTTCTTTCATTTTTCTCATTTTTCTCTGAAAGATACATTTGCTGGTACAAGAGTTTAAACACGCTGCCTGATTGTTCTAAAAGATTTCTTAATATAAAACAATTTGTTTGTTTGTGTTTGTTTGTTTGTTTGTTTTTTTTTTTCATTTATAAATTCTATTAGTCTTACATATCATTTTTGTATTCACGAAACACATTTGTTTCTTATAATGAAAACTACAATGTTCTGTTGGCCATAATGCTATTTGGTTTTTAAAATGTTGTGGCTTTTAAGTATATTTGTACTTTTATGGTATCAAAAACAAATAATCATAGACAAACGCAAAATCCAGACGTATATCAAGCATATTATATTGACATGTAAAGAAAAAACAATTAACGATTGATAACTATATAAATATTTTAAAGATTGATTATTACCAACCTATATTGAACATATCTATATAATTTTCAGGAAAGCCTAGATCAGCAAATGAAAATGGAAGGCAAGGACCTCGAGTGAAACATGTGATTAGTAAAATTTTCTTTTTTTATATTTTTATTGTTTTCCCCTTTTTGAGGTATTGAAATTATTTCCTTTACCATAGATATATTTCTATCATTAAATCATTTATATTGGTAATCAAACGAATTATATGCAGAAGAAGGCCATGGGGCAGCACTATTTAAAATTAAGAAATTACAAGGAAATTAAGGTTCCAACTAAGGCTGGGCTTATATGGAGTGTTTTTTTGTCTTAGGTATTTTCTATCATAAAGCTTTCAGTTTATTCAGATACATTTATATACGTTGTCCCAGGTTGTCTGTTTGACATTGTTTTACGTGTAGTATTTATGTTGTGTCATAGATCAAATTTATTTTTTCAGTGTATGTTTACTTATTTTTGTTAATCTTTCTTTTTGATCGAGTTACGCCATTTCAATTGATATTTTATAGTGTGTCTTTCTATCATGTAATGTTATACTACTGTTTCAGGTTAGGGTGGATGTTGGCGCCTGTTTGAACCCGCTGCATTTGTTTGCACCTGTCCTAAGTCAGGAACCTGTTGTTCAGTGGTTGTCGTTTATTGATGTGGTTCATAATTGTTTCTCGTTTCTCGTTTTTTTTTTATATAGATAAACAGTTGGTTTTCCTGTTTGAATTGTTAGTCATTTTGGGGCCCTTTATAGAAGAGGGACGAAACATACCAGAGGGACAGTCAAACTCATAGATCGAAAACAAACTGACAACGCCATGGCCAAAAATAAAAAGACAAACAGACAAATAATAGTACAGATGACACAACATAGAAAACTAAAGACTAAGCAACACGAACCCCACCAAAAACTTAGGGTGATCTCAGGTGCTCCGGAAGGGTAAGCAGATCCTGCTCCACATGTGGCACCCGTGGGCCCTTTATAGCTTGCTGCAAAGGCTCCGTGTTAAAGGCCGTACTTTGACATATAATGGTTTACTTTTTACAAATTGTGACTTGGATGGAGAGTTGTCTCATTGGCACTCATACCACATCTTCTTATATCTAATGACTTTTAAATGTTTGTGTTTTTAAAAGCGTTCATAATAAAGGTCAATTTTTAAAGAAAAGCTCCTTGGACGGAACAAATGTATGAAGTGCTAGTTTTATTTACTGTCTTATTATTAGTGTGACAATTTTATATGCATAATGTTACAATCGCCATCGAAATAATTGAAAGTATTTCATCTGATATGCCTGTTTACTTTGCGATTTGAAAATTATAAGTTATATGGTTAGCTACTGATTCCTTACAGATCCATAGAGTGTTAGTAAAATCCGTAAAGGGACGACGCCGAAGGCCGAATCTTTTATGATATTTTTACTAACTGAGGTGCTATAAATTTGCTTAACTCGGTTTAAACATTTTTATTCAACATTGCTGTTGTAATTTGTGAAGTGTGTTTATTGAATTCATGAGTCTCACCGCTAAATTCCAAAATTATTATTACTAAATAAATACTGTCGACATTCTTTCATTTCTCTTTTAAGTTTATTTGTCACGCAGACTGTTAGTTGATAAAACATTCTCAGACACTGGTGAATTTCTAAATAAGCTGCAATGAAAAAAATATTGTAATGATTTTGTATAGTGGTTTTAGTAAACCACAATCATTGCATTGACGTGAGCTTTTATATTTTGTGTGTTCATTAAAGACGGCTGACGTAAGACGGATGACCAAAAGGCAACACTAGCTCTTCGAGCCAGGTGATCAGAGTAAAATATTTGAAATAGTCTTAACCTTATATATTTTAGTAATTTAAATAAAAGATTAATAAATGAATAAGGAATCTAAAGTGTTTGATTCTGTTGGGCTTGCACATCCATTCATTCAGGAATACTTTATAACTTAAACTTTTAAACTTATAACTAAAATCTTATAACTTAACTTAATAACATCAAAGTATCTAATGAATCATTGGAATATGCACTCAGTTTATTATTGCATTTTCAAAAGCTAAGTTTCTGTGTTTTGTGCAGTTGTTTCAGTCATCGATACTTTTTCAACTTCTTTTGGTCGTTGGGGTTGTAGATTAGAGTCTAATGTTCTCCGTAATTCAGCAAACTCATGTTTTCTGTATGCTTTAGTGTCGTATATAAAGTTAGCCTTCTTAGTATTTTGCTATCTTATATAATGATAAGAAACAAAAATATCACAGAAAAACGCTGTTTGTTTTAGATTCATACCTTCGATAAAATCCAAAACTGTATCACACATAAAAATTATGAACACACATGGAAATTAAAAAAAAAAGAATTTGTATATATAAATAGTTCAACAATTCAAATATTGATACATTAACCAAATATAAATTATATTTATGTATTTTCAGGAAAGCCTAGACCAGCAAGTAACGTAAATAAAAGGCAAAATAAAATTTGTGAAAGTCAAAATGACATTAATAAAAAGCAAGTAGAAACTCGATGGAGACATGTTATAAGTCTAATTCTCTTTTTTATATTTTTATTTTTTAGCCCTTTTTTCAGAGTTTAATAAAAGAAAATAATGATTTATCTTTGTAAAACCATAGCAAACAGTTTGTCTGATTTCTGTAACATTGTTATTTATCGATGAATGTATTCAGATTATGGTGCAAACTATTTTTATGGCAAAGCTATCTTCTTTTACCATTGATGGCACATCAACATGTTGAAATGTTTATATATCTTTTAGATACGAAAGACATGTAAAACAAAATCCGTCTTTAAAGCGTTATAGTACTGCAACTGACCTCGAAAAAGACGCTTAGTTAACGAGTTTAATGTTCCGGAATAACACACGGCTGAAAATTGTTTTAAATGATAGAATTATATCTATATTTTAATTTCTGTCTGGTCGTAAAAAGTTTCTTTGGTCACATTTTTGTATTTTAGCCCTTTAATGGGGCACCACTCAATTTACGGTTTTGGGTAGTCACCTTAAAATCCAAAAACAAAATTATTTTGTTAAATTTCCGGCTCTTTTCGTAAATATTTTCGATGCACATATCATCAAGGATCATCGGAATGATAGAGACATAAATATAATACCATCCCCGAGTAAAACTTTCAAACTTAAAGTTAGCAGTTTTTTAGATGGAAATTTAACGCATTTTTCTTTGAAAACGAGAAAACATATGATTCAAAAACCGTATTTGACATTTGAGAGGACAAAATATATTATTGCGATACTGCATGCAAATTTTGTTGGGCAAATTCCAATTAATTTTGTCAAAAACTCAAAAATAAAAACATCATTTATACCTTTTTTTATTACGGAAATTTCATATCCGTCAATCAGCTCCATCATTTATTTTTTTCTTCACAATGAATTTGATAGTTTCGATGTAATTATGTACATTTTCTTGGATAAGTTAACTAATTTGGAGTTTTTGAAGTGTGATTTGATTATATATAGTAGTTCTTTCGTGTATTTTCTGTACATAAGTTATATTTTTGTTAATAGAATTTTGACTTTTTATAAAAGTTAACCAAATCCTTCGGATAAGATGCTTTTCCGGATAATGACTAGTTGTGGAAGTCCTAAAAAGCTAATTAAGTTTACTCATACAAGTCCCAAAAGGAGAAGGCTTGATCGTGTGTGGAAAAAATACATTGTATGTCAATGTTCAACCTCAGAGCAACTAATATGGATGCAAGCGGTTTGGGAAAAAAAAGTACTATTGAAGTTTCGCAGAGATTTGGTGTGTGACAAGGTGATGTTACAACTAACTTCTCTTGATCGTCTGCTTGCTTTGGACGAAAGAGTTGTGAATCATTAGTGATGTTATAAGACTTACACCAGAAGGCAAAATGGTAGCGTCTTCAAATTATAACAACAGAAAGCCAAATATGTGATCAATCTGATCCACATGTATCCTCACAACCTGACACTTTTATACGATCTCGCGCTCAGTTTCCTCCTTGTAGTTTGGATATGAAAACATGTGTTTTTTGTGTGTGTAAAAGCTAAACTTTTAAAAAGGACAGAAAACAACACAAAATTGAGTCGCCTGAACGTGTTGACAGTCTTTTGAGGTGTGATAGTGTGAGTAATCAGTTATCCATGGTAAAGATAATCGCGAGTACAGATTTATTTTCAAATGCAGTCTACCTTTCAGCATGCATTACCAAGTACTTATTGAAGTCAACACCTGTGCAATCAGGTAAAACAGTTACTGAAGAATTAGAATATGAACTTGCTTTCAATTCATTGATAACGATTGTTAATGATGATATTAATATGTTCATCCAGAAAAAGGCCTTTCTCATGTAGCACATCCTCGACATATACCGATTACTTTAACCCAAGAATGTCTCTGATGCTTACCCAACTACCAAACTCAAGAACAAACTACTAAGTAACTAGTTATTATGACACCTTACAATTCAGACACAGCGAGGACAAGGGATTTCAAATATATAGTTTAGCTCTGAGCTCACTATAGGGGATGCCATATCTACTGCAGAAAAAAATGAAGTTTATGTTAAGACTTTCAGAATTACACCAAGGTGTGTCTGAAGATACCAAGGGTACATTAAAAGAGGAACAATTACTTCACTCTGCCGCTAGCGCTCTTAGGAGCTCTGTCCTTCCATGGAAAAGATGCCCGCATGTATGGCTATTACAAAATCAATCGTTTTTGTAGCAAAATCAACATTCGCCTCATTACAATTGGGATTGGCCGTGCACCTATATATGAAATATGGGAATATGGGTCACGAACATTGATAGAAACTTTGTCCTTGCATGGCTTTTGTGTTTCCTATGCAGAGGTAAGACTATACCTGACAAGCATTGCCATGCATGAGTTTGACCGAATCAAGACGGTATTTACGCTCTAAATGGCATTGTTTCAAAACACAAAGGGTGTTTGATACAAAAAGGTGCCGACAATATAGGCCTCAACACGAAGACAATTGATAGTAAGGAACGTTTCATTCCATGGCACGAGCAGACTTTCAGGTTTGTCATTCCACAATTGATTCCAGTTTGCGTCAGATGAAAGTGAAGAGAGGTCAAGATAACACTTTTCAACTGCATCATCGTTGGCGACTGTTTCATTATACCAAAGGTAAGAGAGGTCCTGTTCGCGTTCCGAATGCTTTCAAAAACATTTCAAATTGTGCTGAAAAGATTGAAAACACATCAGAGATTCCTTTGGAAATTTTGTGGTCCATGTCAAAATATATCGAAAATTTTCATGTTTAGTCGAAAACGTTTGACCATCAAGTTATTCCATTTTAGACCGGATATAGCAACTCTTTCTGACTTCAGGGTTAGATTTTTGGCCTGGAAGACAAAAAAGGATAAACCCCAACATTTTTCAAGGGACACATGACATCAGATTACTTACAAGATTATCTTTGTACTTGCAGAGGTAAATCTTTGTGCTCAAAAGCTGCGTTTGCTTTGAACAAACTCTGTCCTGCACCGAACTTGTTTGTGTCAAGAAAGGGAAGTATGTTGTAATGCTAATACGCGTACTGAATCCGCATACGATGACGAAGAGATTGATTCATATCCATATTTTTTATGAAGACTAGAGCTATTGCATGTAGCTTTAAAAAGACAAGTTATATAAGGGTCTTGACCGATTTTAAATTACAACATTACCAAATTGGCATTACATTGTATTTTCCATTACTTCCATTAAAAATTGATGAGTCTACACTTTTTTACCAGGATAATCCCACTAAGATGTTCATGCACCAAACTGAGTTTGTTTTACACTGAACCAACCGCTAAATTAATGCAAGTCACACTTATGATTTTTTTTAAACCTCGCATTCGCCTCGGTTGACTATGATATTCTTGGTGTTATAACTGATATGTCCGGACTTTGCAAATACACAATAATTATTTATGTATAAATTGATACTAATTTTTCCAAATTTACACAACCAAAGTTTAAAAACACTGTTTCAGCGCTTGAATTTTGTTTTTTTCAAAGATAGAAAAAATACTGAAATAATTTGATAAACTGTTGTTTTATAGTTCAGAAAATAATTCTGTAATATACTGTAGTGAAAAATTATAAGCAATATGAAAGTTAATGGATGTGAAAAGTTCAAGGCCACTTCTACTTTTGTTATGTTAGAAATAGAGAAAAATCAGAAGGATCCAGATCAACGCCATTTTGTAATGGCAGCTATTCGAATAAATAGTCAAATTTGTCGTTTTAACATACTTCACAGCATATGCTTATGATTGAACCGTTTTTGTAGCATTCTTATGAATAAATATAAGAAAATTTCTCATTTTTGTCCTTGTGGTTGAAATATTGATATTTTTAGGCCTGACCTTTGACCCAAATTTCACAAAAATGTGACCACTCTGGATTTTTACGACCAAACTTTTCTTATTGTACACGTTTTCTTCTTTCCATCGATATATAATTTAGGTGTGTGTTCTTCCGGAACATTAAAGTTTTAAAAAATGAACTCTGGTTTCAGTACTATTATAGTTCTATTTCTTTTTTTTTCTTTTGCAAAAAGTCTTCCCGTGTTGTTGATATGCTTGGACAAGCCAGAATGTTTATGTTCTGTTATTTTGGCTTAACGACATCCAACACCACAATTAACATTGCATTTCGGTTTTATTTGGAACAGGAATTTATTTGTGCCTTAAAACTCAATGTATTATTCTGTAATGAAACAAAGGTTATTTTAGCTTTGTTTCGTTATATTATACGGCATCACATGTATATTCTTTCAATTACATTTTGTATCGATAATTAAATGCCAATTGACTTTTTTATTCAGGTTTTCATTATTCAAAATATCATACATTTCTTTTGGTTTTTTGGGGGGGAATTAAAGAATATACTTATAACTGCAGGCATAAATTGACCATTTCCTTTTTCTAAATTATTGCAACAAATCGCATTATGATTTAAATATTTTTATCGCAGATATTTCAACTTGATATGCAATGAAATTGGTTTGATATCAAATAAGTCCACATGTAAGATCAAAAGTCGATCATTATATTTCACGTATTTATTTAGTATTTCAATTCTATTTTTACGTTCAATTTATATTTTGTTTTATTTCCGATTGTTATCTTAACGTGTTTCCAAAAATTCTCGTGTGTATTGGAGCTTGCATGTTAATATTGTCTTAACGGAAAATAATTTCAAGCGTGTTCACACCTTTCCAAAATGGATTATCAGTACTTTAAAAGGACTTAAAAATTGCTTTTTAGAATTATTGAACTTCCCAAAAAGGGGGAGTGAATCAAGTTTGGAATTACTTCTATTTTTGTATGCTAATCTATGGTAAATATAAGCGTTGTATGTAATGTTCAATGTTTCTTTCTTTTACCTAGCATGTGTTATCCCTACTAAAACAGAATTTTGTGTCAGTAAACGTTTTAATCAACATAATATTTAGACTAAGATATCTATGAGAATTTACCATTAAATTTTGATATTATCAAAGTTTTAATCATTCCTGTATTTCCAATTTTATTGTTGAAAATGCCCATATAATAAGGTGTATTCAACCATATGAACCAAGCTGTGCTTCGTA